CTAATCACTGACAATGAGGAGAGTTTAAAATAGAATTTTAGGCTTCCAGATTTTAATGGTCCTAGCAAAACTCCATTGTTAACTCAGAAGCAGCTGCATACGTCTAAAAAAATCACTTTGAGATTTGGCAGGGTTTCTTAAGAAACTTGAAGCTCAGCAAAAAGTTAAATAAATTATCCTTGAAATTTTACCAAATGCTCAGGAACTCACTTCAAAGGGAATTTTGTCCATTCAGTTAATTGTGTAACACCAGCTTTCCAATAGCAAATTTATGAAATTGGCATTTTAAATATTCTATGAATGCACAAAGCTGGAGCTACCTGTCACCAGTCACTAGGCAGCTCAGTTTACCTCTCCTTTTCTTAAAGTGAATGCCTGGAACAGTGTGATATTCAGCCACTGATAGCATCCTGGACTCAGGAGATCCTAACCCTAGCTTCATGTTAGAATCCCCAGGGAATTTTAATGAAAAAGAGCCACCCCTGGCTCCCACCCTAAAATTAATCAAGAGTCTTAGAGGGTGGAGTATGGCATCAAGAAGCATCCAAGCTCCCCGGGTGATTATAATGTAGAGCCAGCGCTGGGCATCACAGATGAAGGCAGTGACATTTAGCAGATCAGAGAGAAAAGATAATGTGAGCGCATCTCCAAGTACTTGATTTGACATCTGTTCTCTGACAGCAAGCACCGCCAAACTAGAAATGGACTTCAAGAGCCAGAAAGCTGTGCTGCCCTATCTCGAAAGTGACCTAGTTAACAGATTTGTTTTCCATCAATGCTTCAGAACTTTATAGTTTCTGGACAGAAGAGAACAGGGCAATGGTCCTAAGAGGGAGGCCCCACTCAGGCTGGTTAGAGGTCTAGTAGACCTTAGGAAAGTCTAATACTGCATGTTCTCACTGATAAGCAGAAGTTAAATAATGTGTACACATGGATATAGGTGTGGATGGAATAACAGGCACTGAAGACACAGAAGGGTGGGAGGGTGGACGAGGGGTGCAGGATGAGAAATTACTTACTGGGTACAATGTGCGCTCTTCGGGTGATGGTTACGCTCAAAGCCCAGGCTTTACCGCTATGTAATACATCCATGTCACAGAACTGTACTTGTACCCCTAAATTTAAACCCCAAAAACTCTGTTGAGGTCAAGTTTTATCAGCATCTGATGAAGACAACAGCAGCAAGTACTACAACTATGACAATTTCTGCGAGTCACGGAACATTCAGTTGTCACAACAGCCTCACGGAAAGACGCATCTTTATCCTCTTCTTGTAGACAAGGAAAATGGGGCTTAGAGAGGTTGAGCGATTTGCCTAACACTGAAGTACAAATTCCAAGTCACAAAACTCAACTGTAGCCACATCCAGAGAAGGGGCCTCATGACACCCTCCAGCCTAATCCTTTGCCTCCCCTGAGCTCATAGGCATCTGCTGTTATTAATGACTTCCTACTCCCACCTCTGCTCATCTAGGCTAAGGCTCCGCTATCAGGAAGTGCTTCTTCTCACAATGTCACTTCAATCCTCAAGGTCTGGGAGGAAACTGCTCAACTCACACCCAGGACCCAGTTGAAAAGGCTATCAGTTGAATCAGCATCCTTAGCCACTATGGACCAAGTCAGGAGCCCGGGCCCTGCACCGTCCTCCTCCCCAGAGGTAATACAGGAGCAGGGGTGGAGGGAAAGGCAGGCGGGGTGATCTCACATCCCCAGGGAGGATGCCAACACCACAACACTGACACCACCCACACTTCTACCGCCTGCTAAGCAGACGCACAAAGACGGCCCCAAGCCTGGCATGTGCACGTGGTGAATCCAGGACTGATTATTTGGTGAGGAGAACCTTTGGGCCTCACTGAAACCCTCTCCTCATGTGGTTTTCTGACTGTGACAGGAAGAAAATGGCTGGCAGCCATGGGAGGCCCCAGGGAAACCTCAACAGCACTGGCTTCTCCAGAGGGTCTGGGCTGCTGAGGTCTATGATCGGAGAGGTTCCCTCCTCCTCAGAGGAGGAGATTTGGGGCTCTCAAGTCAGTGAAATCCCGTCATGGCTCCCACAGCCTAAGATTTCTGTCTTTATTTAAAACCCTCATCATCAAGGCTCTGGAAATCTGACGACTCAGGAAGTACTGTGTGCCTCAGTCCACAGGAAACCCCAGCACCTGGTAGAATGAGCTTCATAAAGGACAAGGAGGCACCACAGAAATATTTCCTATTCTGGATCAAACGTAAAGCTAATTAATCATTTTGAGTCACACATCACTGTGCATAGCAGAAACAATACTGCTGATGTTCTAAAGACACAGTGCAGCTCTATGGGCTTGGGAGCCCCAGTGGGAGGGAATTCTGAAGATCTACAAGGCGTTTAAAGGGGTGCTGTTTCTTTCCTGGTTTACTAAGCAATGCATTTAAGGGCCCTGAACATTTGTCACTTTGCACACCTTGTTCGTGCCATTTCCCCAGCTTCAAAAAGCTCCCACGAAAGCTCCCATGCCCACCCTCTGACTCCCAGGACTGCTCCTCCCACAGAGCCTTCCTCACATTGCCCCAGCCGCCCACTCCCCCCAGCCAGCACCTCCCGGGATCACACAGCAGAGTGCTGGGCCTTAACGACGGGACCAGCTTCTCCATTCTGTCTCACATTAAGCCGCTCCTCCTCCATCTTCCCCTCATGGAAAGTTCTCTGAAAGGCAGAGACAGTGATTTCTGTCATCATCGGGTTCTTTACAATGGCAGGTCTTAGGAAATGTTGGGCTGAGATAAAATGGTTAACCCTCAGGATATCACCTTAAATCCAATGAAAACCCTTAATCCTCAAATTATAGGCCCTATAAACAACTCTACCATGACTGATGCTAGCAACACGAGAACACAAATCCTTGTCTATTTCTAGAGGAGGAGAAATAAACGGGGAAGCCCACTGGCCTGTAAGAAGGCCTCACTCAGCTCCCTGCAGGACACAGCTAAACTAGCAAAGAAAGGTGCTCTGCTGAGGAAAAGTGGCCATACTTCCTCCCATTTACAAATAACACGTTGGGTTTAGGAGAGATGAGGCAGGTGGCCAGTGGACCTCCGAGGCAGGTCAGCATCTGAGTTACAGTTTGCAAGTGAAGGGGAAAAGAGCTGGGCAGACATCTCCAAGCTGCACCTATGTGGCCTGTTGTCAGCAATACCACAGGAGCAGAAACTCTGCGAAGGCCACGGGGTTCAGGTTGGCTCGACTGCCGAGGGGAGAGCTGTGCAGAGGACAGGCAGACACTCTGACATCCAATCACTTCACAGGCACATCGCCGAGTCTGAGACTCAAATGAATGTCTATTTATAAACTCTGAACTTGCCTTCAGCAAACAGCTCTAGAAACTCTCCCTCAGTCTTCTGATCCTCAGGTGCTGAAGCCCTGGTCCCTTCCTGAGCCTAGCAAGAAGCAGGGAGGGAGAGAAGCAGGGCCTGACCCTGCTTGCTCCCAGTCAGCACACAGGTTTGCACCAGCTGCCGCATCTGAGATCGCAGAACACTCCCTCCCCATGGAGGTAAAGAGCCCAGGTTTGAAGAAAGGTAAGGGCCATGACAGAGAGCCAAGAAGCCCCTCCAGCAGGGGTCTCTCAGCCCCACCGTTCACACTCCACAACACCCAGAGGATGCACAGTTGCACCTCACCTGCCCTTCCTATCGCAGCTCACCCCGACCTTCATACTGGCTGTGCTCCAGCCAAAGGGCCCACTGCTTCCTCCCTGAAACCTGGCCTTTGCCCACCTCCACACCTCTCTCATGCGAGTCCCCAGTGTCACATCGCAGGCGACACTGAACGATCACACCTACGATCCATGCATCCTTCAGGGCTGGGGCCAAATGCTCCCCCAAGCCCTGTACTCGATTCCTCCTCGGCTCCCTCAGCGCAGCCCGCGCCAGCCCCATGTGCCCTGCAGCTCTGCTCCCTGGTGCTGTATTTCGTGTGAGCAGACCTGCCACTCCCTAGGAGATAGCACTGCACTCCACATCCTCTCCAGCTCCGGGTTTGCCCTGGACCCAGCAACAGGCCTTGCTGAGAGTACAACATTCAAGGCCCTCTGCTCAAGCAGGGACCTGCTCAGCCATCCCCTACAGCGTAGGGCCGGCCTCAGGTCCACCAAGCCTCTCAATGGCTATGTGCCCTTGACCTACGTTCTCGGTTCTTCCTATTCAGTGCTTCCAGATTTGAAGCAAGTCACAGACATCTTAGTCAAATGCTCCGCTGGATTCCAATTTCCACTCTGACCTGAGGCATAGAGGGCCCCAGAGAGAATAAAAGCACATCTGTGGGGAAAGTATGTGGTGAATGAGACGCTGTAGTTGACAATGACAATTAATTTCAGTGATTGACTGAGTTCTCAGGCCTTGCCTCCTGCAGAAAGTGCTCTCGAGTGCCTCGTGTCACAGTGTGGGGTGTCGGTGGGTGGGCTGCAAAGCAGCCATCTCTGATTCACATGCCCCTTAACACCTGCCTAGAACAGTGAGCCGGTTTCCCCCCAGCCCCTGATGGGCTAAGCATATGGCTTCACATGAATAGCACAGGTAGGAGCCGTATCAGGTGGCCTAAGAGTGAGAGTCGAGAGTAACCCTGCCCTTCAAATTCTTGCCCAATAACACTGCTCACATTGAGGTGAGGGAAACCACAGCTTCCTCTCCTGTGGTGCAAAAATACATGTCTCATCACCCCCGTGCCCACATGGAAATGCACTTACTGAATACCCCAGAACAATGGTGGGCCCCTCTGACCCTCCCTGGCTGTAAAGCCATCTTACCAAATACGACTCTAAACCCCAAACCTCAGGCAGAAATCCAGAGTCAGCGCCAGTGCGCCTGTTCTCTCTGTGATGTGATGTGTGCAGGCAGAAGGGACCAGATGGCTGGGAGAAGGCCGTCCCGCTCACAGCCTGGGTCAGAGTCGAGCAAGGCCTGCTGCCAGGCGTCTGCGCCTGACACTGAGTCTGTCTAGCCAGGGGCAGGAAGGGCTCTACATACTGTTTCGTTTGCCTTCCTCTCCTCCTTCTTCCTCGTTCTCGGGATCAATGTCCTCAGCTTGGGTGATCCAATCCAAGTAGCCCTTTAGATCCTCCTCCAGCTGCTGTTTCTCCCGGAGCTTCTGGAAATCTCCCCGTGCTTTTGCTTTCTCTCTTTCCTTTGAGAATTCTCTGAAGGAGGCAAAGACGACAAGAATATGTCAGGGCATCCTTGGGGACCTGCCTCCTGAGCCACTGCCCTGCTGCACAATAGTCTTGTGGCAGGATGCACAGCACTGAGTACAGCCACATGAGCACAGCAATGGAGCCACACACGTGGACAGGACAGAAGACAGTGTCTTCCCAAGCAAGACTGTGGGGGTCAGAGTCGCAGAGCCCACATCAACACACATGCATCACTTCTTAGAAAATGAACTCCCCTCAGATGACAGCTATGCCAAGGGGCCTGGGCCCAAAACACCATGTGCTGTCATGTTGGGCCTCTGACACCCCCAACCAGGGGCCTGAACTCAGAGACACCCCACCTGCCCCAGAGCCTCCTCAGATACCTAGCATCACACCTCAAAGAAGAGGGACCCAAATGGGCCAAGCTGTGGTCAAAGGGTACCAGGTTTAGGGCTTCTTCAATGCTTTTGGGCAACACTTTGCATCAATATTGTGTGCTGCCCCTTTCGTCCAAACCAAGGGCTCTGAGGGAACAGCAGTCCTTGCTGGTGCCCACACTAGGCTTCTCTACCCATCACCTGCAGGTTTGGGCCAGAGCAGTGGACAGAGTCAAGGCAGTCCCCACCCTCTCCACAACCCAGTTCTCCCTTCCCAGATGGGAACTCAAGCACTGATGAAGCATTACCATTTTTCTTAACCCTTCCTACTTGCCATGGTCTTCCCCCAAAAGTCTTCCCTGCAGGAGGGGAAGAGGCATTTGATTTGCTGCCCATTTGTGGAAACACCTGCCCTGGAAAGGCTCTGGCAGACAGGTAAATGTTCCCAACTGTAGGCTGTTTATGCTACCTTCCACCATGTGTGCAAGCCTCTATCTATGCATATATACAAACCCCACACTCACTCAGGCAAGACTGAGAGTCAGGTGGATGATTATCCTGTTTTTATATACGAGGAACCATCTGCATCTCTAACCGTGAGTTGTTACAGGAGCCAAGATATAAGCGTTAGAGATTTAGTAAGTACACTTAAAAAGCTGCTAAGAAAGCAGGTGAGGTGACAGCAATGCAGTTTCTGAACACAGATCCTGAGATTCTGACATAGGTTTCTTCCGTCTGCCTTCCTGAATTCATTCCAAGTCAAAGCCAGTGCATCTATCTTTCAGGGTCCTACCTCAGTAACCCAACCCACACAATTGACGAATGGGGAAGTGATCTGCTTTCATAAAGCTAACCCTGGCTGGGCGTGGTGGCTCATGCCTGTAATCCCAGCACTTCGGAAGGCTGAGGCAGGTAGACTACCTGAGGTTAGGAGTTCGAAACCAGCTTGGCCAACACCCTGAAAACCCATCTCTACTAAAATACAAAAATTAGCCAGGTGTGACGACATGCACCTGTAATCCCAGCTACTTGGGAGGCTGAGGCAGAACTGCTTGAACCTGAGAGGTGGAGGTTGCAGTGAGCCAAGTTCATGCACCCACTGCACTCCAGCCTGGATGCCAGAGCAAGGCTCCATCTCAAACAAAACAAAACAAAATGAACCCCATATTCATACCCCTCCCTCAACTCCAGGATGTCGAGGGGCTGAACAGATGCTTGCACACCCAGTGACACTAATACTTCAGATAAGAAACTGGAATCCTCACCAAGTGCCACCCTCTGCCCACAATTAGAAAGAATCCCAGTGAGGCAGAAGTTGCAGTGAGCTGAGATAGCGCCACTGTACTCTAGCCTGGGCAACAGAGCAAGACTCCATCTGAAAAAAAAAAATAAAAGGATCTCCCCACTTTTCAGACTCCCTGGAACCTGTGCTTGGCCCTTGAGTGGTCTCCACTGCACCCCCTGTGAAAAAGGAAGGAGGCAAGGCTTTGTGGATCTAGAGAGTAAGCAGGAGTCGATCAAGCCCAGACACATGCCCTGACCTCCCAGCCCAAAGAACACGTCCTGCCTCAAAAAAATAAGGACTCCAGTGTCTTGCTGTTCACACACACCACACCCTGAGAACAGTTTGGGGTTTCTAGACCTCCAGGGATTCCTGACATATGGGAAATACATAACTCAGCTCTAGGTAAATTCACCAAATGACTCTCTGAACTCTGAAAAAGTCACAATCCAGAATCACATCCCTGAGCAACAGTAAGAGGGCTTGGAATGTCATGTGCCTGTAGGAAAATGAATTATATAATGTGTTTTCTTACACGACTATAAAGAAAAGTAGACCTTCAGCTCTATTATTCACCAAAAAAGTATCCTAGTACAAATCTGTTTGCATGTGTTGATTCTGAACTTAGCACACTAAATTCAGATGGTTACATACAAGCAAGGTATTCTTACTTTGGGTCCATACATATATGAGCTCTTGGGAAAAAATTATGAAGATAGTAAAGGAGTTACCCTGAGAAGCGTAAGGACATTCATTTTATAATGTATGTAATTTTATACATTTATTATAAAATGAATGTCCTTACGCTTCTCAGGGTGACTCTATCTTTGCAATTTTGTTTCATAATATTTTATGCATTTTTAACATTACAAATATAAAAATCCCCTTTCTAACAAGCTGCATCACTACTGCACATTTTTGGCTACTGGGACACAGTTAAGCAGGCATAAGTAAAACCCTACTCTGACTAAAATTCCTAAAACACCCTGCCAAGTCCTGGTTTATGACCCACTCACAATAATGGTCACTATCACAAAAGCTCACACAACAAAACTGCTGATACAGACCCTCTGAACTGATTTTAGACAGTTCTGAATGACCAAACAGAGGTAAGATTTATGCAGTAAAAATCTGTTGGCCACGGGGCAGGATGGAAGAAGCAGGCAGGGAGGCAGAGTCCCTGTGATAAACCCAGATAAAGCCTTGGCCCTCCTACACCACTCTGGGCTCTCCGTCTGAAGGCTTGGCTTCTAGTCCCAGCTCTGCCGCTGTTGTGTTCTGAGCTTCAGTTTTCTCACTTGCAAACAGACACAACCATACCCATTCTGTTGTTTCACAGGGATTAAGCAAGCATTCAGTAAGATGAGGCTTTGAAAAGCATAAAGGGCGGTATCAACATGAAGTTCCAATGTAGAATAGTTGCTGAATCCAGACATAAGAAAGACATTTAAAAGGCACATGGAAGAGCTTTCTCAAATATCAAAGGCAGAAAAATTAGCACTAGCTGTGAGTGGGCTCTAAGCTGTCACAAATCCATCAGGATTGGGGGACACATAGAAGGACACATGGGTCCTAAGGCTCAGAGTGACTGAGGTGAGCCAGCAAACTCACTGCCAATCCTGTACATTGTCTGCTCAGTTCAGAAATACCCATTCCCATCACAACTGACCCTCTGATCCTGAAAATCCCACCTCAAGTCCAAGTCACCGTCTATCAAACTTTGTGATGATGGACACAAAATTACTCCACTTTGCATAAGAATTCATCATATTCTAAGAATCCTATTACTAAGAGATTGTTTTACAAAGCTTATTTAATAAACCTGTTGGTAGAAACCAACAGACTTTTGCAAGTGATTAAAAATCCAACAACTGTTATATGCTAGGAGGCTTCTTGTTCCAAACCAGAATTTTGATTATGGTGTGTCTGACCAAAAGATAAATAAGAAGCGCCTGGAAAAAAAAAGGCAAATACAGCGTACTACCCTTTGCTCATACTGGGAAATAAAATGCACATATTTCTCTAGGATGTATCTAAAAGCAGAAAACAAGGGGCAGGAATGAATTAGGCAGAAGGAATCAAGGTTGCAGTGACACCCTTAAGTACATCTTTTTCTATAGTTTGACTTGGGAGCCATGTTAATGTTCTTCACCTTAAATTTTTTTAAATTAAGTCAATAAGGATGAGATGAAGGGAAAATACTCCTAAGCTGAAAGTGAATTGAAACAAATCTGTAATTCAAATGAATACCACAACCAGACTGAAGGAAGAAGACAAAACGAGTTCAAGTAGCTAATGGCTATCTGACGATACGCTCTTAGTTTTGGACAGGGTTAGAGGGATGAACAGCAAACAAACGCCGAACTCTTCAGGAGTTTCGTTTTTTGTAGTGATGCATGGGAACCACTGGTAGGCAAAAGGGATGAGAAAATGGGGGGGCCCTTGTTTACACAGTAAAATATGTTAAGGAAAAACATTTGACAATCACATTCCTATTTTTATTTTTATTTTTGGGACAGGGTCTGGGCTCTGTCACCCAGGCTGGAGTGCAGTGGTATGACCTCCACCTCTTGGGTTCAAGTGGTTCTTGTGCCTCAGTCTCCCAAGCAGCTGGAATTACAGGTGTGCATCACCACATCCAGCGAACTTTTTGTATTTTTAATAGAGACAAGACTTCTCTGTGTTGGCCAGGTCAGTCTCAAACTTCTAGCCTCAAGGGATCCACCCGCCTTGGCCTTCCAAAGTGCTGAGATTACAGTCATGAGCCACTGCGCCTGGCCGGTGTTCTTGATGCTTTCATTGACATAAAAGACTGATGATGTTTAAAAAGTTTTCATCTTTTGAGAAGATGAATCATTTTCAGAGTTGGTGTTCCCTAGCTTTTAATGACTAGATTATCTGCCATGAACAGAACACAGAATTAGCAGCTGGGCCACCCCACGCAGACCACACCTCAGAAACTGTTTACATGTGGCACTTACCCTGAACAGGAGACTGGGGTAGGGATGGAGTGAACAAAGGCATCATCTGTCTGGTCAGGTCAGATCTCTCCTTTCTGACCTCTTCCCCCTTGAACTCTGCATTCTAGCCATCCTAATGTTCACTCAGCTCCCCCAAGGCATGTAGCTCTTTCGACACCAGGCCACTGTGCATGCAGTTCCCCACATAACCCCTCCTGCACTTCCAGATATCATCCTATTCAGCTGGCTTAGGACATAAGGACTTTTCTCTAATGTCTTCAGAGTCCCCCGGCTTAGAACCCTGCTTTTGTAGAATGTATTTCACAGTCCTGCAATTATTTAATATTTTCTTTTACTCACCAGACTGTAAGTTCTGTGAAGGAGGGG